TAAACATCTAAGGTCTGAATACTTCCTTGTTTTTTAAAATCATTTCAAAACATGTAGATTTTCCGAGTGAAAATAAGTGAAAATCATTAGCACACCCTCTACAGAGAACTCACATACAATATGAAAGGTGCCGTAACTTTTGAACAGACCACATTTTATATTTATTTTTTTTCCCAATGAGTTTCAATTCAGTAAATAAAGTGTGTAGAGGACGTTTTAACTCATTTTCACTCAGAAGATCGAGAAAAATGTAATATGACCGGGGTGCGCATACTTTTGCACACAACAGGAAAAAAAAAAACAAAGACAAATAAATGAATAAATACACAAACACACACAAATATGACTGTCATGAGGTCATCATCTGTCCTGTTGTAGTTTCAGAGCACCATCTCTGAGCAGCGCCTGCGGATCGTACAGGCGTCGTTCTGACAGAACTACAGAAATGTATTACTCAATACATGTTTCTGAGAACCGGCGAGTTCACAGAGCTCTCTGACTGGCCGAGTTTGACTCACCGCCCAAGTGTTGAGTCATCCTCCCGCTGTCCTAGCGCACCACCACACATAACACACTGCACTATGGTCGCCATGGCAACGGGAGGAAATTAGAATGCAACGACAGGACGGAAGGAGATAATTTGTCAAACGCTGAAAGAGGAGGCGGGTGGAGACGGACACGTCCAGCAGCATCGCTGCCACTGAAAATCAAACAGTTCAGACTTACTTACTGAGGGTCTTTCAGAAACCCACAGAGCTCTTCAGTCATTAAAGGAATAATTCAGCTAGAAATCAAACGTACAGTTTTCCCCAGTTGTCAGGTTTGTTTTTATCATATAAAGTTTATTAATACACCGATCAGGCATAACATTCTGACCACCTCCTTGTTTCTACGCTCATTGTCCATTTTATCAGCTCCACTTACTATATAGGTGCACTTTGTAGTTCTACAGTTACAGACTGTAGTCCATCTGTTTCTCTGCATACTTTGTTAGCCCCCTTTTACCCTGTTCTTCAGTGGTCAGGACCCCCATGGACCCTCACAGAGCAGGTACTATTTGGGTGGTGGATCATTCTCAGCACTGCAGTAACACTGATGTGGTGGTGGTGTGTTAGTGTGTGTTGCGCTGGTCTGAGTGGATCAGACACAGCAGTGCTGCTGGAGTTTTTAAACACCTCAGTGTCACTGCTGGACTGAGAATAGCCCACCAACCAAAAATTTCCAGCCAACAGCGTCCTGTGACCACTGATGAAGGACTAGAGGATGACCAACACAAACTGTGCAGCAGCAGATGAGCTATCGTCTCTACTTTACATCTACAAGGTGGACTGACAAGGTAGGAGTGTCTAATAGAGTGGACAGTGAGTGGACACAGTGTTTACAAACTCCAGCAGCACTGCTGTGTCTGATCCACTCAGTACCAGCACAACACACACTAACACACCACCACCACGTCAGTGTTACTGCAGGGCTGAGAATGATCCACCACCCAAACAGTACCTGCTCTGTGAGGTATTTTATTTCATGCCAACCAATGCAAGACACTACTATTCCCACACGTGAACATAATTTAACTTTATAAAATGTTGGTGACTTAATAAACTACAGTAATACCACAGTTAATGTACTTAACATACATAAAATTAGTCTAGAAACGCAGCTCTGTTTGCTCCCATAGCTGTTGCAGTGTTAGGGACCGTCTCAAAAGTACTGGACAAAAAAGTGTTGCTATTATTATTACTTTATTTATTGCTATGTGTGTTGTTAATGCTCTGCATGTGATATAACTACTGAGGAAATACAGAAACATAAAATGTAAAAATAAGAAAGAATTAATTTGCAGTAAATAAATTTAAATTAATGAATGGAAACACATCTGCAGTATATTATATCCTCCGCTGCAATGTAAGGGACCATCTCAAAAGTACCAGACAAAAACTGTTGCTATTATTTTTATTTATACATTTATATATATATATATATATATATATATATATATATATATATATAAATATATATATGTGTGTGTAATTATTTTTTTTTATGTGATAGAACTATTAAGGAAATAAAGAAACATAAAATGTAAAAAAAAATAAGTTAGTGTAAACTTCATCAGACAAAGCACGAAGTTTCCTTCGTGACGCAGAATTTGCAGTAAATAAATCTAAATTAATGAATGGAAACACATCTGCAGTTTATATCCTCAGTACAATCACATCATAATCATCATAAGCATGGGTCATGATATCGTATTGTGATTATTGTGGGGTCTCTGCTGATTCGTACCCCCCAGCATTCATGCAGAATCACTTGGCTAATTTTACTTCCTTGAAAATTCCCAGAATTTTTTCACAAATGCACAAAGCCTATAACAGTGCAAACTCGATCCAGTCATAACTACGGCATGTTAATACTCACATCTGTTCAAGAAGTTTTCGATATTCTTGTTTTTGCGTAAGGCTGGAAAATCCAGATCCAGAACCAGGGCGTTCATGGCGTCCTGAAAGAGAAGATAAAGCACAGAACTTACTCAAACTGTTCACTCGATTGTTGAAGGTCCTGGTGAAAGATCAGCAGCTTCGTAATCTAAAGCCTAAGCCCCACATGTCAACCACAAGGCCTGCGACACAATCCGATCCGGCCCGTAAACATATTTTAATTTTCTATTAATATTAGTCCGTTTCACCATGCGCTGCACTACAGTCTCCAGCATGCACTGCAACCTAATGTGCACCCTGACTCTCCTACCCCAACAACAGTCTATGAGATGCAGTTACACCTCAATTCTAACTGCATTTCACCAACTGCATTTCAGCCAACATAAACACTTAAGCTCAGCTCAGCAGCTCAGAAACTGAGCCCAAGTCTGAATGAACTTGCAGCAGCAAAAAGATGCCAGGTGTCGAGTTCAAGCAGATCGGCAGGTTTAAAAGACTGAGCTCCTGGGGACGTTTACATTTAGAATATTTTAAGTATTCATGTAATATTTTAAGATCTACCACAAGTGCCGGTATTTTACTGTTGAAGGTTTTACATATTTTGAATAAACAGTGGTCAGTTCGGTTTATAGCAAAATGTTAATTAAAAATGAAATTAAACTGTAGGTGCTCTCTGGCCCACAGATTTGGTGAGATTTTTTAATATGGCCCTTTAAGTGGTTGAGTTTGACATCTTTGGTCCAAGTGATCCTTTAATCAAAGGTCAACAGAAAAGCAGACAGTATCGACAGTCCCACAGCTTGTGCGACCACCCTAGTGGACATTAATGTTCCATAGTGACCTGCAGAATATGTGCCAAGCAATTTGTAGACAAAAAAAAATCAGAACAGAGAAAATCCACACTGGTCTCTCTTGCTGTGCACACAGAAGCAATAATGACCAACATGCCTTTAAAACGCCAGAGACTTTTGGAACGACTGAGCTGGTTGATGACTGTGCCGCATTCAGAGCTGGATCACTGTCTGTAGTTACTGTTTATCTCATGCTAAACTGTGTGCTCGGCTCATTCTGCGCTCACAACAAGTCGTGATCACGCGCTATCAATCTTTAAATCCATCTTACGGTCCTCTGCACACTTCTCTCCATAATGCTGACAGCATCACTGCTAATGCAGGACTCCACAAACTCATACTAGACCAGTCACCATCATACAAGTTTAGTTGACAATTAACTGCCTTAATGACTGAGATTAACAATTTCAGCGGCTCAAAAAAAAAAAACTGAACATCTGAAATTTACTTTGAAAGTGAGGAGCTGCAAGAATCTGGAATCGGTGTCTTCCTGAGGGAATGAATCAGATAACTAAAGGAAACGCACTCAAAACAATTAACCAAAATGAACCCAATTCTCCAGCACTGTGTGTGTGTGTGTGTGTGTGTGTGTGTGTGTGTGTGTGTGTGTGTGTGTGTGTGTGTCCAGGGTGGTCAGACTGTAATGGAGGGGCTGCAGTGCAGACGGGTTAAAGTGCTTTTAATTGAGTTCAGGTCTGTTGTGGTTTACATACCAGACACAAACCTTTACAGAAAACCATTCCAAACATTCAGCAACCACACCTCTCTCTCCCAATTTCTCTCTCTCTCTGCATTTTTGTCTTTTCTTTCTCTGTTTTTCCTTTTTCTCTCACCGTCTTCCTCCATCACCCATCTCCAGCTCTCTCCCTCTCTCTCTCTCTCTCTCTTATAATATAACATATAATATATAATCAATATTTTTCTAGTCTTTTCACACAGGAGTGCTGACCGAGTAACATTACTGTTACTGAGTGCTGATTGGTTAGCATTACTGCTACTGAGTGCTGATTGGTTGCCATTACTGCTAGTAAGTGCTGATTGGTTGGCATTACTGTTACTGAGTGCTGACTGGTTGGCATTGCTGCTACTGAGTGCTGATTGGTTAGCATTACTGCTACTGAGTGCTGACTGGTTGGCATTACTGTTACTGAGTGCTGACTGGTTGGCATTGATGCTACTGAGTGCTGATAGTTTGGCATTATTGCTGTTTAACGCAGACTGGTGAGCATTATTGCTACTGAGTGCTGATTGGTTGGCATTACTGCTACTGAGTGCTGATTGGTTGGCATTATGCTACTGAATGCTGACTGGTTGGCATTACTGTTACTGAGTGCTGACTGGTTAGCACTGATGCATTATTGCTGTTTAGTGCAGATTGGTGAGCATTACTGCTACTGAGTGCTGATTGGTTGGCATTATTGCTGTTTAGTGCAGATTGGTGAGCATTACTGCTACTGAGTGCTGATTGGTTGGCATTATTGCTGTTTAGTGCAGATTGGTGAGCATTACTGCTACCTCTTGTATATAAACACAGAAGTATAAATGACAATTTTTCACAAAGCTCCACAAGAATCCATTCATTTTGGACTTTCTCAAGGCTGCCTTACTGTCAGACCGATGTGAGACATCACTGAGTGGCAGTTCTCCTCACTACACACTCCAAACGGTTTTCTCTTTTTATTAAAAGGACAATTAACAGAGTCTCAACACAAATATGAACCTCTCTCTGTTTAAAACACTATTCAAGACACACCACACAGACACACCCACCCAACCACCCAACCACCCAACCACACACACACACACACACACACACACACACACACAGGAAATGACACATTCCACTCAAGACTCCAGAGATGTAGCGCAGTGTTGTGAAGTTCAGTGATGACATCATTTCCTCTTTAACTGTCCTTTCTCAAAGTGAGCACACAAACACAGCAGTGAAACTTAAAGGGGAGTTTAAGTTCTTTTTTCTTTTAAGATTTAAAAAAAAAATCTGCATAATTCAGTTGTTGAGATGAAATCAGTCATTCAGAGTGGTTTGGTGTGAAATGGTTCAGATGTCTTTACAGTGGTGGTGATAGGAGCCAGGGGTCGCCATGACTACAACACAAATATTGACATTTTATTTACTATCAGAGCCACCAGTGAATCTACACGAGTCTTCTGAGTTTATATGGAATGTTAATGATGGAAAATAGTGACAAATCAGAAAAGTTTTCTTTGGGGACTATTTTGCCTCACAACGCCCTGCGTGTATCCCTCCAACATATTTTAAACCAAAATCTTCTAAAAACTATCATAAAACAGTGTCTCAGTCATCAGGCAGTGAATTCATAACCATTTCCTGTAATAACTCTGTGAGGGAGCTTTTAAGAGGTGGACGTCTGGTTCCTATCACCACCACTGTGAACCGTTCTCACTCTGCAAGTTTCTGTAGAACAGAGCGACTCTGTTTACATCTTAACCACTTAATTATGAAGAAATTTTGAATAATAGTTGGGATTCCCTTCTAATTTCATGGTCATAAATGGTATCTACCACAGAACACTTATACATACATACACACATATATATATATATATATATATATATATATTTATTTATTTATACACACACACTCTCTATAATGTCCAACACTTTGTAGACACCTGATTCTCAAGCATTTCCTCTGAAATGAAGGGTATTAATAGTGAGTTTGTGCTGCAGTAACAGCCTCTACTCTTCCAGGAAGACTTCTGGGTACGCTTTGAAACTTTAATAAGGTTTAATCAGTAAATAAAACACTTTTTAATTAAAAAAAAACAAAAACGACAAGAAAATATTGGTTTTCTAGATATGCACTTTAGAGGTACAGTAAAAGGTCTAACAAAAGCACCATCATCAGGAAAAAATAAGCATCAGAGAAACATCACATACAAATAACCACTGCAGTCCACAGTTAATAAAGCACTGCTCCAGCTACAGCCTCAAAACACAACAATCCACTACAGCTATAAAAGGCAGAACCCAAACAAAACATTTTATATGGGATTCCAAATTTAAAAATAGCTGCTGGGAGAACAGGGAGAGAGAGAGAGAGAGAGAGAGAGAGAGAGAGAGAGAGGGGGAAAATGGACAGAAGGTTACACTGTAATAGCCAGGATAGCCAGGGCACGGAGACCCAACACCAGGGGTTGCAGCCCAAATGTTAAGAAGAGCCATTTTGTCCTTTCAACAAAAATCAAACCACCTTGGGAGCCACAACATTTAACGTCCATTTTACCATCTTGGCTGTAAATATGTCTCAGTCTGTGCTGATGTTCCAGTATAGGATAAAGAATATAAATGAAAACGCAGACTGACTTTGCTCTGCTATAAGCTTTAGCTTAGCTATAGCTGCTTTTCTCACATCTCTGGCAGGAAACTTTTCGAAGAGTAGAACAGTTTCTTGTAAAATGTCTCTCAACATTTGACTTTTTACAAAACTGCAGTCACTTCTGATTCGCCAGCTTCTTGTTTGAATTTTCCCGTTCCACCTTAAATGGTGCCTGAGGCGCCAGCATGTAACCTGTTGTTAAAATATTAATGTAATGTAGTAATGTAATCAGCAGAAAATCAGATTTTGTCAGTAATCTGATCAATACAATTATATGCACTTGGGTAATCAGGTAATGGGGAAACTCCAGGTCTACATGAGTCGGGCAGTAATCAGATTTCTGCTTTACAACCAGCCAATAAACTCACAGAAGAAGCGTGACGTACACGTAACGTAAAACTCAAACTTCATGCCGCAGCTTTTTTTTTTAAACATCGCTCCATTTTATCTGAAAATATGAACATACATCATCTAGAAGATGAAGAATATTTAAATCCTTCATTTCGTCTGCATTTATTTGGTTTCAGTGACGTTCCAAAAGTGTTTTGCTGTGTCTCGCGGTGACGCTGTTCGCTTAGTTCCAGTACCGCCGTCTGTTTTCACACATGCTCAGACTGAGAAATCTGAAAGAAATCAGAGTAAGAGTTTACAGCACTGAGAAATCTGATTACTGAGCTAAAATCCAGCCTCTTTATCGGATTTCTTAATCAGATTTGTAGACCTTATTTAGATCTAAGAAATCAGAGTGTGCTGTTCACACGACCATTTAATAATCAAATAACTGCATAAAACCTGAGTGCTCAGTCACTGTGTGTTTACATCCACTAAATAATGTGATATTTGCAGAAAA